ACAATATAACTAAAAAAGTATTAGTGTGTTTGTGTGTGTCCGCTTACAGTCCCCGCATTCCATGAGATGTTGTTTAATCAATTTTTTAAAGGTAATTTTGCTGTTTGCTTGAGAAATTGGAGATGGAAGGGAGTTCAATGCATGGCTCTGTATAATACTGTGCGTTGCAGTTAATTCGTTTTGGACTTGAGGACTGTGAAGAGACCCCTAGTGGCATGTCTTGTGGGGTATATATGGGTGTCTGAGTTTAACGTTATTTGATCATGCAGACAATCTGGAATTGTCATCGTCAACCCTCAACCAGGAAAGACTGGCATGCATGTTGTTGATGAAGCTGTGCAAAGCAACAATTTTGCAATAACTGAAATTGGATGGTTGTTGGTGTTGCAGAGAAACTGTAGGTCTTTGACAATTAAAAATATTGCCCACTCAGTCCATACAGTTGATTATGACAGCGGGTGGTCATCGCCACAAGACATGGCCCTAACTACAACCGTACATCATGTCCCTGTTGACCAACGAGTCAAAGGAATTAGTATAGTAGGCTACAACGCACCATATTTAGATCAAATTGATTCACAACAGGAAAACGTGAACTAGGGAGAAAACAGCAAATGAAAATGGAAAAACTGTGATTTCGACGTGCTATCACGTGGTGCGGTAAACAATAACATACAAGGTGCATCATATGGGTGCATCAATGACTCACCAACTGCAAAACAAGCTCCGGTTTGAGCTCTCAAATTTCCCTCAACCCCGGCAAAACGGCAACGGTTAACGGGTCTGGATGTAGCGTCCGTTCTGCTTGGAGAAACCGTCAACCTACCGTTCCGTCTAGAGTGCGTTTCCCATTCCCCCAATTTCTCTTGAGCAGATCCTACTAAACGCAAAGGGGTGGCATCCCCAAACTCAGCTGATTCAATGCACGCGAGCGGAGCTCGGAGAGCGCACTTCCTGCACTTCGGAGGGGGTGTGAATAGCTACGACCGCTTAGGACCAGTATTTATCTTCACAAGCTATAAAAGCCGCCCACAAAGTCACTTAAAAGTCTCATGAATAAGCGATTCAGCCGTGGTAGTTATACATGTTTCTTGCATTCAGCTTTCAAATCGGAAATTATTATTCTCTCGTCTCATTGCCACCCCCGGCTTTGGTACATTCCGAGATGTGCGATCTTTACAAACCTCTCGCGTCACCTTCAGGTATTGATCAAAGCTGGGAGGAAGAGGACTGACAAAATAACTGCAAACATGCTGTATGTTTAATCTGTTTACTTTTTATCTAGCAATCATTTTCATTACACTGAACAGTCATTTTTTAAACAATGAATTGAGATGTTAACTATTCAGTGCACATTAACCTATCCCCTGGCTCTGCAAACACTTCACAGTGCAGTAGATAGGCAACAAATGAAAGACAAATTACAATGGTTGTTTAATTGCTCTTTACTGATGTGGTTATTAAATGGTTATTATACAGCAATACCCATATGGTTTATTCACACACACACACACACATATATATATATAACTGCCAAAATAATGGAAACACGAGTTAATGAGGGATAGGCCTACAAAGTATACTGAAAGCACTTCCACTCAGGTGTGTCTCCTGAGTTAATTAGGCAATGAACATTCTATCATGCTTAGGGTCATGTATAAAAATGCTGTGCAGGCCATTATTTTAGCCATAGGATGACAATGCCCCCCATCCAGTGGCGTAGGCAGAAATCAGTTGATGGCAGAAATCCGTTGATGGCACATAATAAACCATAGACCTATAATTAATAGACTATGGGACTAGAACATTATGCCCTGATATAGTCTAGCGGTTAAGAGCATTGGGCCAGTCACTGGTTCGAATCCCCAAGCCGACTAGGTGAAAAACCTGTCGATGTGCCCTTGAGCAAGGCACTTAACCATAATTGCTCCTGTAAGTCACTCTGGATAAGAGTGTCTGCTAAATGACTAAAATGTAAATATAACATTAATAATCACAATATGCAGCCATAGTCTATATAGACTAGAACAGTGGTCCAACCTTTTCTTAGTCGAGATCACTTTATGAGTCACTGGACTGATGGTCAGGTCTCAGCAGAGGGAGGGAGAGAGCGCGAGTCAAAGTGGAGAAGCGCGTTTCATGATTTCTGAAAGTGTTGAATAAAAACATTGTTGTAGTGCTGATCATTGTCTCTGAATGTACTGACACTCTTTAAGGCCCTTGATTAGATCAATGCAATCAGTGATTGATAGAGGGGGACTGGGGGCCCTTCATGGCGAAATCACTAATTTCAAATAACTTGGCAAACATCCTCTTCTACGCACGGTCTCTTTATTTATTTTTAACAGTGAGCTTTGTTTGGCCATTTTACTTGTTTTTGCTAGCCAAGTTGGCTAGTGAGTCTTAGCTAGCTAACAGTGAGTAGCCTATAGCCTAGCCAACACAGCAATAGCTACTGTTTACTGCACATGGTATCAGTACGAAGTGACACGTGCCAGAACCCAACCCTTATTTAGAAATTGACAAGTAAATAATCAAGCATAATTAAAATTCATTACATAGGCCTAAATTAAATTGATTTTACGTACAGCACTCGATTTTATGTAAGATGTCCTTGAGTGTCCTGAAAGGCATCTGCCAAATAAAATGTATTATTATTATTATTAATAATATACATCCCTTTCGATGTCCCACCCTCTCCGTACTGCTTGCTATGAATTCTATCTGATGGTGTATGCATGTTTAGGCCAGTGCTTGACTTGAACTGAAATAAGTGTCGGTACTCATTTTGGGTGCCGGTACTATTTACAGTCAGGTCCATAAATATTTGACATTGACCAAGTTATTATTTTAGCTGTCTACCACAGCATATTGGAGTTGGAATTAAATAATGAATATGAGCTTCAGCTTTAATTTGAAGGTATTTACATCCAAATCGGGTGAACGGTGTAGGAATTACATCACTTTTTATATGTGGTCCCCCCCTTTTTAAGGGACCAAAAGTAATCGGACAATTGGCTGCTTAGCTGTTCCATGGCCAGGTGTGTGTTATTCCCTCATTAGTTAATTTACAAGTAAGCAGATAAAAGCTCTAGAGTTGATGGCATTTGCATTTGGAATCTGTTGCTGTTAACCCTCAATATGAAGTCCAAAGAGCTGTCACTGGCAATGAAGCAAGCCATCATTAGGCTTAAAAATCTAAACAAACCCATCAGAGAGATAGCAAAAACATTAGGTGTGGCCAAATCAACTATTTGGTACATTCTTAAAAAGAAAGAACGCACTGGTGAGCTTAGGAACACCAAAAGGCCCGTAAGACCACGGAAAACAACTGTGGTGGATGACAGAATAATTATTTCCCTGGTGAAACCCTTTCACAACAGTTGGCCAGATCAAGAACACCCTCCAGGAGGTAGGCGTATCTGTGTCAAAGTCAACAATCAAGAGAAGACTTCACTAGAGTAAATACAGAGGGTTTACCACAAGATGTAAACCATTGGTAAGCCTCAAAAACAGGAAGACCAGATTAGAGTTTGCCAAAAAACATCTAAAAAAGCCTGTACAGTTCTGGAACAACATCCTATTGTCAGATGAGACAAAGATCAACTTGTAGCAGAATGATGGGAAGAGAAGAGTATGGAGAAGGGAAGGAACTGCTCATGATCCGAAGCATACCACCTCATCTGTGAAGCATGGTGGAGGTAGTGTAATGGCGTGGGCATGTATGGCTGCCAATGGAACTGGTTCCCTTGTATTTATTGATGATGTGACTGCTGACAAAAGCAGCAGGATGAATTCTGAAGTGTTTAGGGCTATACTATCTGCTCAGATTCAGCCAAATGCTTAAAACCTCATTGTACCGCGCTTCACAGTGCAGATGGACAATGACCCGAAGCATACTGCGAAAGCAACCCAATACTTTTTTAAGGCAAAGAAATTGAATGTTCTGTAATGGCCAAGTCAATCACCTAACCTGAATCCAATTGAGCATGCATTTCACTTGCTGAAGGCAAAACTGAAGGCAAAACGCCCTAAGAACAAGCAGGAACTGAAGACAGCTGCACTAAAGGCTTGGCAGAGCATCACCAGGGAAGAAACCCAGCATCTGGTGATGCCTATGGGTTCCAGTGCTAAAACTCACATTTTAATTTATGATTATGTTAGTTTGTCCAATTACTTTTGAGCCCCTAAAATTGGGGGTCTGTGTATAAAAATGGCAGTAATTCCTAAACGGTTCATACAACAATTTTGACAAAACCCTTAAATTAAAGATGAACGTCTACACTTAAAGCACATCTTGATTGTTTCCTTTCAAATCCATTGTGGTGGCGTACGGAGCCAAAGTGATGCAAATTGTGTCACTGTCCAAATACTTATGGACCTGAATGTATATTTAGGTGCTCCTGAATACTTCTGTGCTAATATTCTATAGAAGGTGAAGAAGAAAATGTGAGGTGCCGGTACTCAGTTCCGGTGAGCTCCTGCCCAAGTCAAGTACTGTGCTTAGGTAAAAAGACAAATAATGTCCCATTTGGAAAATATAATAATTTTTTTGCTCAACCTGATTGGGTGGGCCTGTGCCCACCCAGGCCCACCAGTGCCTACGCCACTGCCCCCATCCACAGGGCAGGAGTGGTCACTGAATGGTTTGATGAGCATGAAAACGATGTAAACCATATGCCGTCTCAGTCACCAGATCTCAACCCAATTGAACACTTATGGGAGATTCTGGATCGGCGCCTGAGCATTTTCCACCACCATCAACAAAACACAAAATAATGGAATTTCTCGTGGAAGAATGGTGTCACATCCCTCCAATAGAGTTCCAGACACTTGTAGAATCTATGCCAAGGTGCATTGAAGCTGTTCTGGCTCGCGGTGGGCCAACATCCTATTAAGACACTTTATGTTGCTGTTTCCTTTATTTTGGCAGTTATTGTATATATTATAGCAGCAGATGAAACGGTCCTAAGTTAGGATCCCACATCCATTGTTGCACCTGTTGGTGACCCCGCCCACACCTGTACCTGTCTATCCACCACAAACTCCCCCTGGGGCTCCTGTGTTGCTGGAGGCAACAGCGCCAGGTACACAGGTGTGTCAGCCCCCTCCGCAGGCGTCTTGGTCCCGTTGGGATAGGTCATGTCAGACTTCACCCAGCCCGGGCAGCAGGAATTTATCAGAATCCCTCTCTGGGGCGTCTCTCTTCTTAGCCTGCGGGCCTGGATCCGGGTAAGTGCCATCAGGCCTATTTTGGACACCCCATAGACAGAATTTGGCCAGCCCTTGTTGATGTGGTCTCCAGCTTTGGCCTCGGCAACAAAGCTCTTCATTAGAGCCACTAGCTCCTCCTCTGTGATGTCATCGCTGCAGAGCCTGGCCTGGAGGTCCGGAGAACACATATAGAGGGTGATATAGCCCACGATGCTGGCAACATTCACTATCCTCCCTATAACAGACAGACACAGACAGACAGTTAAGTTTAAGGAAAAAATCATATGGCGATTAATTAAGTGATAATGCCAGAGAAGCCGGTGTTTGGAGGATATATTGGCATGGGTGTTGTTAGGCCTCGAGACGAAGTCGAGATAATGTCTAGATGCTTTTTAGCCAGAATAACAGCAATGTAGCTGCATTTACATTTGTTTAAGCTGTTTTCTAGTGACATTTATTTGGATACATCCATAACAATGAGCTAATGAGGTGCAATTTCGCATAGCATAGAAAATGTGCTCACTCGTCAGGACACTGTTGTTCAGAGGAGCTAGCTAACAACGCAGCTAACACAATCACTTCAAACTGAAGCTGGAAAGACTGCAAACTAGCTGCACTTCGTTTCGTTTGACCTTTTTTTCAATGTATATTTCTTTGTATATATCCATAAAAATAATGTCAGCTGATTCATGATTTCGACTGGCTGAGAAACGTTGCCTACCTGTCTGTCTCCTCCCAACTCCCGACATGTTCATTACTATGGGACAGCTGGACATCGAATTTGAATATTGAAACAATGTTGCAAATGTCGGAAAGACAGACAGCAAGGTTTGTACAAATCTCCACTGTTGAAAACGAAATGTTAGTCTAAAAGAAATGTGAGATAATGTCTGGATGCTTTTTATAGTGGAGATCAAGTTTATAAATTGCTTGGCTGGGCTGATGAGACAGTAGATTGCGCAGTCAGATGGAACAGAGTAAATAGGCATTTTAAGGTCATAGATTTAGCCGGTGGGAACTTGTGGAATAGACACCGGCTGGAATGTGGTATTAACCAATCAGCATTCAGGATTAGACCCACCCGTTGTATAATAAATAATAATCACTGAAATAAGGGCTTACCATCTTTCTTCAGGAGAGGGAGAAATTCATTGCACATGTCTCTTGTGGCGAAGAAGTTGGTTTGGAGAATGCGTTCTGCTTGGCTGCCGAAGGATGCAGGGTCACCTCCTGGACATAGAGGGAGCTATTAGTTCACTTTAAATGCCACTGCATCCAAGGCCAGCTAACACACAATACTCTATTCACAGGGTTTCCCAAACTCAGTCCTGGAGCCACGTTTTGTTTTTTGCCCTAGCACTACACAGCTGATTCAAATAACCAACTCATCATCAAGCTTTGATTATTTGAATCAGCTGTGTATTGCTAGTGTGTCATAGACATTAATGTGTAGTTACGTTTTGGGACAATGCCTGCGTTGTTGATCAGCACATCCAGACCCCCGTACTCCTTCATGAAATGCTGCCGTGCCGCCTGGATGCTGACCGGGTCTGTGATGTCCAGCTGGAGGAGTCTGGGCTTGAGTCCCTCCCTCTGCAGATCCTCCACAACCACGGCCCCCCTCTGGACGTCCCGGGCACTCAGATACACATCCCCTTTAAAACCCTGGCACAACGCCTGCACTATGGCTAACCCCAGACCCCGCGTGGAGCCAGTGACCAGAACCACCTGTGGACCAGACATCACCTCAGAGAGAGAGAAAAATCAAAAGCTATAGATTCGGAAAGCTATAGAGCAGGGGTATTCAAATCTTACCCTACGAGGTCTGGAGTACTGCAGTTTTTCTGTTCTACCTGATAATGAATTGCACACAACTGGTTTCACAGGTCTAAATCAGTCCCTGATTAGAGGGGAAGAATTTAAAACAAATCTATGGAGTTGGCTTCAAGGTCCAGATTTGAATTTGAGGGCTAGTCTGAGCTACCTGTAAACATACAATTCACAACACATTAACATGTGTTTAACATGTCGCCAATATAAATTAAAGGTATGTTGCTCCAGCCCAGGGCTAGCATACCCAATTCAACTAATAAAGGTGGTAGTTTAATCATTTGTTTTAGTGCTGGCTTTAAAATATATTTGAAAAATCCATCATATCCACATAATCTAAACATACAGTGCATTCGAAAGGATTCAGACCCCTTGACTTTTTCCACATTTTGTTACGTTACAGCCTTATTCTAAAATTGATTTTTTTTATGCATCAATCTACACACAATACCCCATAATGACAGTAAAAGGCACATTACAGCCCACTTGGAGTTTGCCAAAAGGCACCTAAAGACTCTCAGACCATGAGAAACAAGATTCTCTGGTCTGATGAAACCAAGATTTAACTCTTTGGCCTGAATGCCAAGCGTCACGTCTGGAGGAAACCTGGCACTGTCCCTACGGTGAATCATGGTGGTGGCAGCATCAGCACAGAGAGATCCTTGATGAAAACCTGCTCCAGAGCGCTCAGGACCTCAGACTGGGACGAAGGTTCACCTTCCAACAGGTGAACGACCCTATCCACACAGCCAAGACAACGCAGGAGTCTCTGAATGTCCTTGAGTAGCCCAGCCAAAGCCCGGACTTGAACCCAATTGAACATCTCTGGAGACCTGAAAATAGCTGTGCAGCGACGCTCCCCATTCCAACCTGACAGAGCTTGAGAGGATCTGCAGAGAATGGGAGAAACTCCCCAAATACAGGTGTGCCAAGCTTGTAGCGTCCTACCCAAGAAGACTCAAGGCTGTAATCGCTGCCAAAGGTGCTTCAACAAAGCACTGAGTAAAGGGTCTGAATACTTACAGAAATGTAATATTTCAGTTTATTTTATACATTTCCAAAACTTTCTAAAAACCTGTTTTTGCTTTGTCATTATGGGATATTGTGTGTAGATTGATGAGGGGAAAAAAAAACAATTTAATCAATTTTAGAATAAGGCTGTAACGTAACAAAATGTGGAAAAAGTCAAGGGTTCTGAATATTTCCGAATGCACTGTACATTAAAATGTAATTCCCTGAGCAATTTAAACAGTGCAGGCTACAAATAACTTACACCAGTGAATAAATAATTGTTTATATTGAGATGTATCACTTACCAGTACAGATGTAAAACTGTTACAAAGTAGTATGGAGCACACCACCGGCTTTGCAGCTAGCACAGTTTGGATTGATACACCTAGAGATGGCAGAGCATATTCTCTTTAACGAACGAAGAGGTCTAGAATCTGACAAGATTTCACCCTACCTTTTCAGCTAACAAGCTCGTACTGTTTCTCCCTAATCTTCTTCCTCATTCCTTCCTCCCCTCCCCCCTCTTACCCCCTCCTCCACCCCCAACCTCTCTTATAAACCAAAAGTGGGAATTTTATCTCAAAATAAAGATACATTAGTAATCCATTATGAACAGCAATTTCCAGTATCTTTCAACACAATAATGGTCAGAGAAGTAGAAGCCCTGCCCGTGAGCATATTTCTTCAAGATGCTGGTCATGACAGGAAGGAACAACTGAGATCAAGATTCAAGACATAACATGCAGCATATGTTTCTACTTCTATATGGCCATGTATGGTGATGTTTTGGCTCAATCTGGTTTATTGCATGTTGCAACAGGTAGACACCACCCAGCACAGAACATGTCTAACTGGCCTCTTGGAGACAGGCCCTTTATATGCTAATCAGACAGCACCCAAATGTTCTCTAAACACCAGCCCGAGAAGCTTGTAGGAAGTCAAAACAAAAGGCAGCGACTTTGCCAACTGCTACAAAATCACACAGTGTTCATTTAATATCATCAATACAATGCAAGCGTGAATAATCAGTGTACTCAGTGTTTGTAGTTGTACCTCCAGTCTGGCATCAATCACTATCAACAGATATGAGAATAATCCATAACATTCAGCTTTAAATCATGACCATCAACATGCACCTAAAGACTCTCAGACCATGAGAAACAAGATTCTCTGGTCTGATGAAACCAAGATTGAACCCTTTGGCCTGAATGCCAAGCGTCACGTCTAGAGGAAACCTGGCACCATCCCTACAGTGAAGCATGGTGGTGCCAGCATCATGCTGTGGGGATGTTTTTCAGCGGCAGGGACTGGGAGACTAGTCAGGACCAAGGCAAAGATGAACAGAGCAAAGTACAGAGAGATCCTTGATGAAAACCTGCTCCACAGCGCTCAGGACCTCAGACTGGGGCGAAGGTTCACCTTCCAAAAGGACAACGACCCTAAGCACACAGCCAAGACAATGCAGGAGTGGCTTCGGGACAAGTCTCTGCATGTCCTTGAGTGGCCCAGCAAGAGCCCGGACATGAACAACTCTGGAGAGACCTGAAAATAGCTGTGCAGCAACGCTCCCCATCCAACCTGACAGAGCTTGAGAGGATCTGCAGAGAAGAATGGGAGAAACTCCCCAAATACAGGTGTGCAAAGCTTGTAGCGTCATACCCAAGAAGACTCGATGCTGTAATCGTTTCAACAAAGTACTGAGTAAAGGGTCTGAATAGTTATGTAAATGTAATATTTCCATTTTGTATTTGTAATAAATTTGCTAAAATTTATAAAAACCAGTTTTTGCTTTGTCACTATGGGGTGTTGTGTTTAGATTGAGGAGAAAAAAAAACTATTTCATCCATTTTAGAATAAGGCTGTTACCAGTGGCTACCCGTCATTCAGCCCAGAAGTACACGGGAGGATCTTGTCAATGATCACCAAGAAAACAATTGGTAACACACTACGCCGTGAAGGACTGAAATCCTGCAGCGCCCGCAAGGTCCCCCTGCTCAAGAAAGCACATATACAGGCCGTCTGACGTTTGCCAATGAACATCTGAATGATTCAGAGGAGAACTGGGTGAAAGTGTTGTGGTCAGATGAGACCAAAATCGAGCTCTTTGGCATCAACTCAACTCAACTTGGAGGAGGAGGAATGCTGCCTATGACCCCAAGAACACCATCCCCACCGACAAACATGGAGGTGGAAACATTATGCTTTTGGGGTGTTTTTCTGCTAAGGGGATAGGACAACTTCACCGCATCAAAGGGACGATGGACGGGGCCATGTACCGTCAAATCTTGGGTGAGAACCTCCTTCCCTCAGCCAGGGCATTGAAAATGGGTCGTGGATGGGTATTCCAGCATGACAATGACCCAAAACACACGGCCAAGGCAACAAAGGAGTGGCTCAAGAAGAAGCACATTAAGGTCCTGGAGTGGCCTAGCCAGTCTCCAGACCTTAATCCCATACAAAATCTGTGGAGGGAGCTGAAGGTTCGAGTTGCCAAACGTCAGCCTTGAAACCTTAATGACTTGGAGAAGATCTGCAAAGAGGAGTGGGACAAAATCCCTCCTGAGATGTGTGCAAACCTGGTGGCCAACTATAAGAAACATCTGACCTCTGTGATTGCCAACAAGGGTTTTGCCACCAAGTACTAAGTCATGTTTTGCAGAGGAGTCAAATACTTATTTCCCTCATTAAAATGCAAATCAATTTATAACATTTATGACATGCGTTTTTCTGGATTTTTTTGTTGTTATTGTCTCTCACTGTTCAAATAAACCTACCATTAAAATTATAGACTGATCATTTCTTTGTCAGTGGGCAAACGTACAAAATCAGCAGGGGATCAAATACTTTTTTCCCTCACTGTAAACATTACACAACAAAGTTGGAAATCGCAAGTGGTTTGGAAGGAATCAGTGACAGTGCCTAACTGCAAGCATTGCAAAGCAATCACTAGCCTGCTATTCAGTGGAGTGGCTGTGGTCCCAAATCTGGGATGAAGGGTCTCTTTTCCAAGTTTAAAATGATAAACATTCAACATTGGCCATGCTGTCAATAAAGCATGATTTGTGCTGCGCTCAAAACAACTTAACTCGGAACTGCGAAAACTTGACTTCAGTGAGTTCAAGACAGCTGGGAAGTGGGGGAAAAAACTGAATTGTAAATCCGGAACTCGGGCCTCTTTCTAGAGCTATGACCTGAAGATCAATAACGTCATCATGATTCGACCTTGTTTTTTTCAGAGTTCCCAGTTGTCTTGAAAGCACCATAAATCCAGAGAATGCCTGACTTTGATGACAAAAGTTGCCCAGGAAGGACCGCCGCGCCACCTTCCTGTTCAAGTGAGCACAGCACAAGGTGAGTCCAAAAATGTATTCTATGCTGCTGCATAAATGATGTAATATGCCAGGGAGAAATGTATACTGTAGCTAAGAAAGTAATACTAAGTGTATGTTGTGTAGTAAGCTGTTAGTAGCCCATGTGTCTCACCCTAATAATTTGGTCTATTTACCCCTCTTAACTTAGCCTACTGTTCTGACTTGGTGGTGCACATGTAGCCTATAACCTGTTTTAGAGAAATGTCATCATCGAATATTACAAGAGCTTTCATTGTCTGCTTATATGCCCCCTTTATTCATCCTACGGTTCTGACTTGGTGTACAGGGAGAACACTAAGAACGGCCCATGTTCTGAATTCTGTCGCTGTACATTTCAAAAGTGCTAAACAAATAGTTATATTGATTACGTCCGTCCTAGCTCTCTCATTAATGCCACTTATACGCTTGTCGTCCCCTTATGCCGTAGTTTGTACATCTCAATTGTCATTAGAAACCACATTTGTTTAAGCAAGTCAGCCATGTTTTTTTTTAAGGCAGTAAATGAGCATGTTTTTTTTAAAGGCAGTAAATGAGGCTGAATTAACTGTTTCGCTGCCAGAGAAGGCTCCGCTGATAGCCAGGTGTAGCAGTGGTAAAATGTTGGGACTGCTATTGGGACAGCTTTATTTATGCCCTAACAGTTTGTGGGCACCGTTTGTCACCGTTCTAGTGCAATTTATGTATTGTTTAGTGTTGTGTTGTGTAGTGGCTTTGCTGGCATGCATCCCACTTTTTTGTTTTTGTTTGCCCCACCAAGATTTACATGCTAAAATCACCACTGGCTGTAATGTGACAAAATGTGGAAAAAGTCAAGGGGTTTGAATGCTTTCCGAAGGCGCTGTATCTAAGCTGATAAAACAAGGCATTTGATATTCCCTCCACCAGCAGCAACAACCTGTCTGCATGGACACAGAGAAATAAAGACATTTCAAATACAAAGTGTGTTACAGAATATTTTATTATGAACTAGACAGGATCTTAGCGGACATAGCGCTGTATAGGTTGCAGAAAGCAGAGCAACATCTCCATGCCCCTCTGGACGAGACGGACTTAACTATCTCTGATGATCTTGGTCAATTTGTGGATCTTTGTCTTGGTGGACATGTCCACATACTTATCCCCGATACTGACAATCATACCGCCCAGGATGGAGGCGTCAGACTGGAGGGAAGAACGAAATAATACAGGAAGTTAAAGCACCAGTCGACACCATAGCAATGTATGCACCCAATTAATCTCATTGCACTGGATATCAGCATGTTCCGGTTTAGTGCTAGCCTTACAGCCCTAAGCCATTGCATATACCAGAAGTTGACGGTAGATCAATTAAAAACCTTATTGTGCCACGGGGGGCACAAATTGAGTATGGCCTCACCTTGGTCTCAAGTATGAGAGTCTCTCCCTTTGTCAGGAAGCCGTTCAGAGCCACCTTCAGATCTGCCAGGTTAGCCTCATCCAGGGGCTGTGTCATACACACACACACAAACACAAACAAAGATCAAATCAAATGCTACAATAACTAATATGGCACTTGGATTGACAACCATATACCAAACTTTTTGGGGCCAGGGACCCCTTTTGTGATCGCAAACTCCTCAGGGACCCCCTCATAATCAGAACACAACTCATGTGAGATAAAAACAGCATTCAAGGAATTCTACTATGATTTTGGCAGTGCATGGCCGAACAAACCAAGTCTCTGGCCCTGGGAAGGAACATATTAAAGGCCCATTGCATTGCATCAGAGAGAACATTTTGCCGTTTTCAAGCAATATTTCTGCAATTCTACACATTTTGTCACGGAGCAGCGATTTTTTGTTGCTGCTTTAAAGCTAATATCCTGCAATTCTACACAATTTGTCATGGGGCAGAAAGAAAACTTTGCAGTTTAAATTACAGTGCATTTATGCAGGGCCGGTCCTTGCTGTTCTGCTACCCCAGGTGAGACAAAAAAATGCACCCTGCAAAACTAGAATAGTCCCAGTAAGCAAAATGACGTTAAAAAGACGTCTAAAATATGTATTTTACAGATGTGAAGTTATGTTCAATTTAGTTTCTGAATTAAAGCTGAAAATATATTTTCTGTATGTTAAAAATAAATATTTTCCAGGATGTTGAAAATACATATTTTCCATACGTTAAAAAATATGTATTTTCCGGATGTTGAAATCAGGCTAATTTTTGGTTCCGAATGAAAGTTGAAAATAAGTAATTTATATACGTCTATGTTTGGGCCAAATCAAGGCTGGTCCAGACCGGACCAAATCTGAACCAAACATAGATGGATGTGGAAATCCATGGATGTGGAAATCAAGGCCAGTCCGGAACTGCACCAAAAAGAATACGCCCAAAAAGCTTTGGCATCGGTCTGTGCTTAATGAGGTGTAGCCTACAGTTTTGCCTGAAATTAAATTTTACGAATGCCCATCTATGTGGTAAGCCTACTGTTTGTAAAACACCAAAAAACGACATTGGCTTGAGCTTAAATGGGGTGTAGCTACCATGTCGGCCACAATGGAATTTGATGAATGCCTATCCATGTGGTAGGCCCACCGTTTGCAAAACAGGCCGTTGCATTGGCTTTATTATTCCTATTCCTGTGACTCATCAATTTGGCTATTTATGCTCTGAATATCAGCTACCCAACTTTATCAGTTATCGTGAGCCTATTTGTAATGGTGTTTACACTGCGGGAAATGCAGAAGTGTTTTACTTTTTCGCTATGATCAATTGCCACTTAGGTTAGGCAATCTGAGGTGCAGTCAGGATGCTCTCGATGGTGCAGCTGTAGAACTATTTGAGGATCTGAGGACCCATGCCAAATCTTTACAGTCTCCCGAGGGGGAATAGGCTGAGGGGGAATAGGCTTTGCCGTGCCCTATTCACGACGGTCTTGGTGTGTTTGGACCATGATAGTTTGTTGGTGATTTGGACACCAAGGAACTTGAAGCTCTCAACCTGTTCCACTACAGCCTCGATGAGAATGGGGGCGTGCTCAGTCCCCTTTTTTTTTCTTCCTGTAGTCCACGTTGAGGGAGAGGTTGTTATCCTGGCACCACACAGCCAGGTCTCTGACCTCCTCCCTATAGGCTGTCTAAATCGTTGTCAAGAGTGTGCAAAGCAGTCATTAAGGCAAAAGGTGGCTAGTTTGAAGAAACTTCAATATATTTTGATTTGTTTAACACTTTTTTGGTTACTAAATGATTAATTTACATTTACGTCATTTAGTAAAAATAAAGAAAAACCCTGGAGTCAGTAGGTGTCCAAACTCCTGACTGGTTTAAACAACACAATGTAACTCCAAGTCAATCACACTTCTGTGAAATCAAACTGTCCACTTAGGAAGCAACACTGATTGACAATACATTTCACATGCTGTTGTGCAAATGGAATAGACAACAGGTGGAAATTATAGGCAATTAGCAAGACACCCCCAATAAAGGACTGGTTTTGCAGGTGGTGACCACAGACCACTTCTCAGTTCCTATGCTTCCTGGCTGATGTTTTGGTCACTTTTGAATGCTGGCCGGTGCTTTCACTCTAGTGGTAGCATGAGACGGAGTCTACAACCCACACAAGTGGATCAGGTAGTGCAGCTCATCCAGGATGGCACATCAATGCGAGCTGTGGCAAGAAGGTTTGCTGTGTCTGTCAGCGTAGTGTCCAGAGCATGGAGGCGCTACCAGGAGACAGGCCAGTACATCAGGAGACGTGGAGGAGGCCGTAGGAGGGCAACAACCCAGCAGCAGGACTGCTACCTCCGCCTTTGTGCAAGGAGGAGCAGGAGGAGCACTGCCAGAGCCCTGCAAAATGACCTCCAGCAGGCCACAAATGTGCATGTGTCTGCTCAAACGGTCAGAAACAGACTCCATGAGGGTGGTATGAGGGCCCGACGTCCACAGGTGGGGGTTGTGCTTACAGCCCAACACCGTGCAGGACGTTTGGCATTTGCCAGAGAACACCAAGATTGGCAAATTCGCCACTGGCGCCCTGTGCTCTTCACAGATGAAAGCAGGTTCACACTGAGCACATGTGACAGACGTGACAGAGTCTGGAGATGCCGTGGAGAACGTTCTGCTGCCTGCAACATCCTCCAGCATGACCGGTTTGTCGGTGGGTCAGTCATGGTGTGGGGTGGCATTTCCCTCCATGTGCTCGCCAGAGGTAGCCTGACTGCCATTAGGTACCGAGAAGAGATCCTCAGACCCCTTGTGAGACCATATGCTGGTGCGGTTGGCCCTGGGTTCCTCCTAATGCAAGACAATGCTAGACCTCATGTGGCTGGAGTGTGTCAGCAGTTCCTGCAAGAGGAAGGCATTGATGCTATGGACTGGCCCGCCCGTTCCCCAGAGCTGAATCCAATTGAGCACATCTGGGACATCATGTCTCGCTCCATCCACCAACGCCACGTTGCACCACAGACTGTCCAGGAGTTGGCGGATGCTTTAGTCCAGGTCTGGGAGGAGATCCCTCAGGAGACCATCCGCCACCTCACCAGGAGCATGCCCAGGCGTTGTAGGGAGGTCATACAGGCACGTGGAGGCCACACACACTACTGAGTTTCATTTTGACTTGTTTTAAGGACATTACATCAAAGTTGGATCAGCCTGTAGTGTGGTTTTCCACTCCAAATCCAGACCTCCATGGGTTGATAAATTTGATTTCCATTGCTAATTTTTGTGTGATTTTGTCGTCAGCACATTCAACTATGTAAAGAAATAAGTATTTAATAAGATTATTTCATTCATTCAGATCTAGGATGTGTTACTTTAGTGTTCCCTTATTTTTTTGAGCAGTGTATATACAGTGGGGAGAACAAGTATTTGATACACTGCCGATTTTGCAGGTTTTCCTATTTACAAAGCATGTAGAGGTCTGTAATTTTTATCATAGGTACACTTCAACTGTGAGAGACGGAATCTTTTTTTAAAATCCAGAAAATCACATTGTATGATTTTTAAGTAATTAATTTGCATTTTATTGCATGACATAAGTATTTGATACATCAGAAAAGCAGAACTTTAATATTTGGTACAGAAACCTTTGTTTGCAATTACAGATCATACGTTTCCTGTAGGTCTTGACCAGGTTTGCAAGTATTTGATCACCTACCAACCAGTAAGAATTCCGGCTCTCACAGACCTGTTAGTTTTTCTTTAAGAAGCCCTCCTGTTCTCCACTCATTACCTGTATTAACTGCACCGGTTTGAACTCGTTACCTGTATAAAAAACACCTGTCCACACACTCAATCAAACAGACTCCAACCTCTCCACAATGGCCAAGACCAGAGAGCTGTGTAAGGACATCAGGGAGAAAATTGTAGACCTGCACAAGGCTGGGATGGGCTACAGCACAATAGGCAAGCAGCTTGGTGAGAAGGCAACAACTGTTGGCGCAATTATTAGAAAATGGAAGAAGTTCAAGATGACGGTCAATCACCCTCGGTCTTGGGCTCCATGCAAGATCTCACCTCGTGGGGCATCAATGATCATGAGGAAGGTGAGGGATCAGCCCAGAACTACGTGGCAGGACCTGGTCAATGACCTGAAGAGAGCTGGGACCACAGTCTCAAAGAAAACCATTAGTAACACACTACGCCGTCATGGATTAAAATCTTGCAGCGCACGCAAGGTCCCCCTGCTCAAGCCAGCGCATGTCCAGGCCCGTCTGAAGTTTGCCAATGACCATCTGGATGATCCAGAGGAGGAATGGGAGAAGGTCATGTGGTCTGATGAGACAAAAATAGAGCTTTTTGGTCTAAACTCCACTCTCCGTGTTTGGAGAAAGAAGAAGGATGAGTACAACCCCAAGAACACCATCCCAACCGTGACGCATGGAGGTGGAAACATCATTCTTTGGGGATGCTTTTCTGCAAAGGGGACAGGACGACTGCACCGTATTGAGGGGAGGATGGATGGGGCCATGTATCGCGAGATCTTGGCCAACAACCTCCTTCCCTCAGTAAGAGCATTGAAGATGGGTCGTGGCTGGGTCTTCCAGCATGACAACGACCCGAAACACACAGCCAGGGCAACTAAGGAGTGGCTCCGTAAGAAGCATCTCAAGGTCCTGGAGTGGCCTAGCCAGTCTCCAGACCTGAACCCAAAAGAAAATCTTTGGAGGGAGCTGAAAGTCCGTATTTCCCAGCGACAGCCCCGATACCTGAAGGATCTGGAGAAGGTCTGTATGGAGGAGTGGGCCAAAATCCCTGCTGCAGTGTGTGCAAACCTGGTCAAGACCTACAGGAAACGTATGATCTCTGTAATTGCAAACAAAGGTTTCTGTACCAAATATTAAGTTCTGCTTTTCTGATGTATCAAATACTTATGTCATGCAATAAAATGCAAATTAATTACTTAAAAATCATACGTGATTTTCTGGATTTTTGTTTTTAGATTCCGTCTCTCACAGTTGAAGTGTACCTATGATAAAAATTACAGACCTCTACATGCTTTGTAAGTAGGAAAACCTGCAAAATCGGCAGTGTATCAAATACTTGTTCTCCCCACTGTATATACACACATATATACATACTACTGTTTTCCATGAAAACATACATGAAATTAGTTTCAATAGGAAATATAGCAAAATGCATAGGTAATGCAGTCATTGACAAGGTTAGAAATAATGATTTTTAATTGAAATAATAATTGTATCCTTCAAACTTTGCTTTCGTCAAAGATTCCTCCATTTGCAGCAATTACAGCCTTGCAGACCTTTGGCATTCTAGTTCTCAATTTGTTGAGGTAATCTGAAGAGATTTCACCCCATGCTTCCTGAAGCACCTCCCACAAGTTGGATTGGCTTGATGGGCACTTCTTACGCACCTGGTCCCAATATGGTCAAGCTGCTCCCACAACAGCTCAATAGGGTTGAGATCTGGTGACTGTGCTGGCCACTCCATTATAGACAGAATACCATCGGACTGCTTCTTTCCTAAATAGTTTTTGCATAGTTTGGAGCTGTGCTTTGGGTCATTGTCCTGTTGTAGGAGGAAATTGGCTCCAATCAAACGCCGTCCACAGGGTATGGCATGGCGTTGCAAAATGGAGTGATAGCCTTCCTTCTTCAAGATCCCTTTTACCCTGTACAAATCTCCCACTTTACCACCACCAAAGCACCCCCAGACAATCACATTGCCGCCACCATGCTTGACAGATGGCATCAAGCACTCCTCCAGCATCTTTTCATTTGGTCTGGGTCTCACAAATGTTCTTCTTTGTGATCCGAACACCTCAAATTTAAATCCGAACACCAAAATATTTAATGAAGCTCCCAGTTGAGGGTCTGTTTCTCAAACTAGACACTAATGTATTTGTCCTCTTGCTCAGTTGTGCAACAGGGCCTCCCACTCCTCTTTCTATCAAATCAAATCAGAATCAAATTCTATTCTGGTTAGAGCCAGTTTGCGCTGTTCTGTGAAGGTAGTAGTACACAGCGTTGTACGAGATCAATTAGCCTTTTAGAATTATAAACATGGATTAGCAAACACAACGTGCCATTGGAACACAGGACTGATAGTTGCTGATAATGGGCCTTTGCACGCCTACGTAGATATTCCATCTAAAAAAAAATCTGCCATTTCCAGCTACAACAGCCATTTACAACATTAACAATGTCTACACTGTATTTCTGATCAATTTGATGTTGTTTTAATGGATAATTTTTTTTGCTTTTCTTTCGAAAACAAGGACATTTCTAAGTGAGGCCAAACTTTTGAACGGTAGTGTATACAGTTTAAGTCGGATGTTTACATACAATTAGGTTGGAGTCATTAAAACTCGTTTTTCAACCACTCCACAAATGTATTGTTAACAAACTATGGCAAGTCGGTTAGGACATCTACTTTGTGCATGACACAAGTCATTTTTCCAACAATTGTTTACAGACAGATTATTTCACTTATAATTCACTGTATCACAATTCCAGTGGGTCAGAAGTTTACATACACTAAGTTGATTGTGCCTTTAAACAGCTTGGAAAATTCCAGAAAATGATGTTGTAGTATCTGAACATTCTATAACTTTGGCTTACTATACTGTGCTGAAACATCTGGAAAGTATTACTATAGGGGTCCCCTAAAACAGTGGACATTGGGATATGTGGAGGCCAGGGATTGGTCTATTCAAAACACGCCATCTTATGTTACATGAAGCATAGGATATATACCATGTTTGAACAAAGGGACGGGGAGAGTGATCATATTTGAGATTGGGTTTGTTGCTCTCCAGATTCTGCAGAAGTCTGTAAATTGATGCTGAAATCTTTGATATAATAAACCATTATAATCAAGTACAGTGTCAGCGGATTTCTTATCAACACATCATCGCAGCATCGTTCGGCCACCACAATGTCATGGCTTTAGAAGCTTCTGATAGGCTAATTGACATCATTTGAGTCAATTGGAGGTGTACCTGTGGATGTATTTCAAGGCCTACCTTCAAACTCAGTGCTTCTTTGCTTGACATCATGGGAAATTCAAAAGAAATCAGCCAAAAAAATTGTAGACCTCCACAAGTCTGGTTCATCCTTGGGAGCAATTTCCAAACACCTGAAGGTACCACGTTCATCTGTACAAACAATAGTACGCAAGTATAAACACCATGGGACCACGCAGCCGTCTTACTGCTCAGGAAGGAGACGCGTTCTGTCTCCTAGAGATGAACGTACTTTGGTGCCAAAAGTGAAAATCAATCCCAGAGCAACATCAAAAGACCTTGTGAAGATGCTGGAGGAAACAGATACAAAAGTATCTATATCCACAGTAAAACGAGTCCTATATCGACATAACTGAAAGGCCACTCAACAAGGAAGAAGCCACTGCTCCAAAACTGCCATAGAAAAGGTAGACTACAGTTTGCAACTGCACATGGGGACAAAGATCATACTTTTTGGAGAAATGTCCTCTGGTCTGATGAAACAAAAATAGAACTGTTTGGCCATAATGACCATCGTTATGTTTGGAGGAAAAAGGGGGACGCTTGCAAGCCGAAGAACACTATCCCAACGGTGAAGCACAGGGGTGGCAGCATCATGCTGTGGGGGTGCTTTGCTACAGGAGGAACAGTTAAGGTATTGGAGTAGCCATCACAAAGCCCAGAACTCAATCCTATAGAACATTTGTGGGGAGAACTGAAAAAGCGTGTGCGAGCAAGGAGGCCTACAAACCTGACTCAGTTACACCAGCTCTGTCAGGAGGAATAGGCCAAAGTTCACCAAACTTATTGTGGGAAGCTTGTGGAAGGCTACCCGAAACGTTTGACCCAAGTTAAACAATTTAAAGGCAATGCTACCAAATACTAATTGAGTGTATGTAAACTTCTGACCCACTGGGAATGTGATAAAAAAAAAAAAATAATAAAAATCATTCTCTCTACTATTATTCTGACATTTCACATTCTTAAAATAAAGTGGTGATCCTAACTGACCTAAGACAGGGAATTTTTACTAGGACTAAATGTCAGGAATTGTGAAAAACAGAGTTTAAATGTATTTGGCTAAGGTGTACGTAAACTTCCGACTTCAACTGTATATACTGTACCAGTCAAAAGTTTGGACACACCTACTCATTCAAGAGTTGTTCTTTATTTTTACTATTTTCTACATTGTAGAATAATAGTGAAGACATCAAAACTATGAAATAACACATATGGAAACATGTAGTAACCAAAACAGTGTTAAACAAATCAAAATATATTTTATATTTGAGATTCTTCAAATAGCCACCATTTGCATTCTCTCAACCAGCTTCACCTGGAATGCTTTTCCAACAGTTTTGAAGGAGTTCCCACATATACTGAGCACTTGTTGGCTGCTTTTCCTTCACTCTGCGGTCCGACTCATCCCAAACCATCCCAATTGGGTTGAGGTCGGGGGTTTGTGGAGGCCAGGTCATCTGATGCAGCACTCCATCACTCTCCTTCTTGGTCAAATAGCCTTTACACAGCCTGGAGGTTTGTTGGGTCATTGTCCTGTTGAAAAACAAATTATAGTCCCACTAAGCGCAAACCAGATGGGATGGCGTATCGCTGCAGAATGCTGTGGTAGCCATGCTGGTTAAGTGCGCCTTGAATTCTAAATAAATCACAGACAGTGTCACCAGCAAAGCACCCCCACACTATAACACCTCCTCCTCCATGCTTTATGGTGGGAACTACACATCATCCGTTCACCCACACAGTGTGACATGGCGGTTGGAACCAAACATCTCCAATTTGGACTCCAGACCAAAGGACACATTTCCACCGGTCTAATTTCCATTGCTCGTGTTTCTTGGCCCAAGCATGTCTCTTCTTATTATTGGTGTCCTTTAGTAGTGGTTTCTTTGCAGCAATTCGACCATGAAGGCCTGATTCACACAGTCCCCTCTGAACAGTTGATGTTGAGATGTGTCTGTTACTTGAACTCTGTGAAGCATTTATTTGGCCTGCAATTTCTGAGGCTGGTAACTAATTTACTTATCATCTGCAGCAGAGGTAACTCTGGGTCTTCCTTTCCTGTGGCGGACCTCATGAGAGCCAGTTTTATCATGGCGCTCGATGGTTTTTGCGACAGCACTTGAAGTGGTCCTCTGTAGCTCAGCTGGTAGAGCACGGCGCTTGTAACGCCAAGGTAGTGGGTTCGATCCCCGGGACCACCCATACACAAAAATGTATGCACGCATGACTGTAAGTCGCTTTGGATAAAAGCGTCTGTTAAATGGCATATTATTATTATTATTATAATAAACTTTCAAAGTTCTTGAAATGTTCCATATTGACTGACCTTCATGTCTTAAAGTAATGATAGACTGTCGTTTCTCTTTGCTTACATGAGCTGCTCTTGCCATAATATGGACTTGGTCTTTTACCAAATAGGGCTCTCTTTTGTATAACTTTTGACTGGTACTGTAGTCCCGTGTAGCTCAGTTGTTAGAGCATGACGTTTGCAACGCCAGGGTTGTGGGTTCGTTTCCCACGGGGGGCCAGCATGAAAAAAATGTATGCACTCACTAACTGTAAGTCGCTCTGGATAAGAGCGTCTGCTAAATTACTAAGATGTAAAATGTAAATGTACTGTATATAGTTTGTGATCTTGGCCGTGGAACCCCTGCAGTACGACCCCACTTTGAGAACCCCTGCCATATACAACCACAGTGTGTGTATGTGTGTCACCGTACATGTGCTGTGGTGACAGTGCAGATGACCTCGCCACGGTGAGCGCTCATCATTTTTGCAAAGGCGCCAATGACATCTGCGGTCAGGGTCAGGCGACCATTATCTGCCAACACAGCTGAGAAGGGAGGGGGGACAATAAAACCATGAAAGCCTAGCCAGTAGCCACATGTAAATAACATTTTCACTAATTGCATTTGCATTATCATTTGCATGAACTAACATTAGTAAGGGTGAGGATGTTCTCATAACAATAGCCAAAATACTCTTAAAGGACTCTTTTCTAATCTCTCATTTGAATCACTAGCTAATTAACATCACTTGTGAGCAGCAAACAATACTCTGATGACATTTACTTTATATTCATGATTACAACTAGCCAACCAAAAGGTATGGCGTGACATCCATATTGATTTTAACATTTCAGACAATCAACAGGGACAGAAGACACGGAAAGGTAGACAAACAGTAGTTTGGTAGATGAGTCTTGACAGCAGAATAACAATGTTATCCCCATTTCATTTTCTTACACAACAGCAGTCTCCAGAACAAGAGTGGTATGTGCAGGATAACTTAGTAATGCTGGGCAACTCACTGATGAGGTTAACTGTGATTGGGGAGAGATTCGCCTTGGTCATGGCGGCACCGAAGAACTTCAGCTTGAGGCTGCGCTTGACGTGGGGGTTCATCACGATACTGGACAGCTTGGGGTCCTTGATCAGAGCCTGACAGAAGGAAAATATGGAGAGAAAGAGAAAAGGAGCTGGTCAAAAACTATATTGTGGCCATAGACAGTGCCTAACAAACAAATGTATGGTTTCCCTTGGTCCCTCAAACTCAACTGGAACTCGAAGCCAGCTCCACTGCGTTTTTTCATGTTTTCCTCTAATCAAGGACTGATTTAGACCTGGGAAACCAGGTGGGTGCAATTAACTATCAGGTAGAACAGAAAACAAACAGGCTCCGGACCTCGTAGGGTAAGAGTTGAATAGCCCTGCCCTAGTTAATAGAGTGTATATACATTACACACTTGTGGCCAGACTGAGGACCAAGACAGGAAAGAGAGAGGTGCAGGGGATAATTTACCGACAACGTGCCCATCTCCTTTTCTACTTGTTCCAGTTTCTTCTGCTTGCTGGCAGCAGAGAACAGGGCTGTGGCATAGCGGCCTCCGACCCCATACACATCGATGGGGGGCTAGAATAGAAAACGGACACAAACATAAGCAATGTACTTGAATCACAGAGCCAATGACCATTGACATTACTCAAGCTGTGGCGTGCGTGAACATCATTATCAAAGCACATGAGTCGTCATTGACTGAATATTACACTGATCAGAGGACATGGGCAGTCCTTCATTCATTCTTACCCTGATCAAAGCTTGTCGAAGAACCGAAGTGCTGAACTGACGCACCTGCAGAAGGAAAAAGATAGTCATTGGTTGATTACAATCTTCATAACAGTGATGTCTGGTGTGCCTAAGGAAGTTAGCTTTGGTTAACTTACTAACTACTGTACAAAATTGGTTTGAACAAACAAATATCATGACCACATTTTCTACAATAAAGCTATAATGTCATTCGAATGGCGCTAATAATACCTATCTTATGGACTTTGGACAATATTTAACAGTAATGCCATCGGTTCGTAGGAAAATGACCAACAAACGTAACTAGCTATCCAGCCAGCCACCTAACAATGTTGATGAAGTTAGCGGGCTGTCGTTAGCTAGCCAGCGGGCTTGTCAAGTTCATGCCAGCATGCAAGGCCTCGCGTGTTCTGCAGTGAAAAAACATTCTGCGCAACATCAAAACAATGCACATTGATCCGTTTTGTGCTTGTTAATAATCTAATTCATTCTCAAATTAAAAACAGAGCCGTAGTTCGCATAACATTCTTGTTTTTTAGAAAGTCATACCTGCAGCCCGAGTCCTAATGCTGCCATGTTCTCCTGCGACTGTGTAGGTCAAAACTTCTGCGCATGACAGCCTGTCACAAGAAGTACGTAAATTCAGGAGCGAGAAGCATTACGGGAAACGTAGTTCACATGTCGATAAGCGGAAATTTACTTCCTAGACCTAAAAAAACGAGCAAGTGGAAATTCACTGTCCTCGTCAGCAGACAAGGAAGCGACTTAGTGGCGTGGACAAACATGTGTGGGGCAAGCATTTCGCTACACCCACATTCACTTCTGTTAAATATGTGCAAATAGGACTAGGCTTAATGAGGATACACATTTCTGGAAAGTTGAACACTTTGAAGGAAGATTACAAGGGTTTTAAAAGTGCATATATCCAATAATGTGAGTTTCCAGATTGTTCTGTTATTATGCAACTGTTAAAGCTGATTACCCAGCAGGATCTCCTGCCCAGTCAGTTAATTGGGCAAAGTGTGGTTTCTTTCTGGCAATTTCCACCCAAGTAGGCTAACAGGTTGAACGTCATGAGGCAAGCCAATCCCCTGTTTAAAAACAAAAACAAAGGTTCACTTACAGTAGTATGCATAAGTCGGTTGTTCCTCAAAACAATACGGTATTTTAACATTAGAACAATAACCAATGGGCGTGTTGCGACCGAACGCATCTGAAACGTCACACGTGTATTACACGTGTAGGGCGTGGAATAGTTGGAAGAAGCGGAGTCGATGCTTATAAAGGGCAGCTACCTTGTTGTATATCTTCAGTCACCTGTGCGCTATTACACCAAACTTCTCGAAAACAGAGGACACAGGAGGACGAAAGACGAATTATCGCTACATCAGAAGGACTGACGCAGGAAGAGACACATATCTACTATCGCCAGAGAAGCAGGCTCACAGTCAAATCCTCAACTTGTGGATTGATGTAGTCAGTAGCTACAATATAGCGTAATGGGAATGGTGAGTGTGCATTTTTGTGATGACAGCCCGTTTTCTATTGTAACCTAGAGAATGTGGTAATGGATGCTAAAAAAGCAGAGAATGGACAAGAGATGGTGATGGAGAAAATAAAAAGCAGGTCGAGCACTTAATTCACTATTTTATTGAACCCAGAATGCATGGAATGTAAATGAATGTAGGCTACTAGGTCAGGGTCAAAGACTTCTTTTTGACGAATTCAACCACACATTTTGCTTAATACCACGACGAAGCTCCTTGGCAATGTGGAAAATGCGTGCGCTTTCTTTCTAGAATATTCCTCTGCCGCTGTATCATTGGTTGTGGTGCGTGCCACATTTCTTGATGATGCTTTGACTACAATGCCCTGATCCCCATATCTCCAGTATCGTTTCATGTTGATACAGTATCTCAAACGGTCAGCTCCTGAGTCCCATTTTAGCATCAGGGGGCATCCTGTCTAGAAAATCTCACCTTGTGGCTGACAGCTGTATGGGTAGCCTATCTATGCGCACCACCATGTAATGATAGTAATACAAGTCTTAGAATACATTGTTATTACTACATCACATGCGTTCTACATGTATGTTTTAAGTCTTTATAAAGAACATTATAAGACATAAGACATTATAAAGGCTCATAAAATTGTCAAAGACTCCAGTCACCCAAGTCGTAGACTGTTCTCTCTGCTACCGCACTACAAGCGGTACCCGGAGCGCCAAGTCTACTCGCTGTTTATTATCTATGCATAGTCACTACAAATAATCTCGACTAACCTGTATCCCCGCACATTGACTCGGTACCGGTACCCCCTGTATATAGCCTCGTTATTGTTATGTACTTTTCTTGTTACTTTATTAATTTTTTTAACTTAAGTTTATTTAGTAAATATTTGTTTTCGGCGCATGTGACAAATAATATTTGATTTGATAACAAGTAATAAAGCATTAAACCTTTCAAGTGTTAACTAAAATGTGTAACATTACAGTGAAGTCATTGGCACCCCCTTCTCTACCCTCAATTGATTTGTAGTAAAACATTACTTTAGCCAGGTCATATGTGAACGTTTCTGTTCCATTGAACAACAGTTTTTGTTGTATTAGAAGGGTCTCTTGGCGACACAGAGATGAAGAGACAAAAACAAAGGGTTATTTTAGTGCAAGGGGCAGGCATAAGGCGAAGAGTTGGGTTTATGTCAGCACGTGATGAGGGCTGAAATCACTAAATATGTAAACTACAGGCGGGAAGAATGACTGCTGTGTTCCGGTGGACAAGCAGAGTGATTGTCTTGGAGCATGTTTGTTTTTTGGATCAGGACAGTTCTCTTACAGTTCTCTTAGTGTAGGATATTGGGGCCGGTCATGTTTGGTTGATCCAGAGAAATAGCCATCTAAAATATCATATTGTCTAGTCAGTAAATAATTTGCTAAGCTTAACTCGGGGATAATGACTTCAGCTGCAATGGTCGGGGGATGATGATGTAATCATAATGCATCTAAGTCATGATTTAAAATGTATTTATTTTTTATTATTACATTTCAAATTACAATACAATAACAAAAAAACATAGGACATCACTACACGTATATTTTCTCTAAAGAAACAAAATAACTAAAGTAAAAAAAAATATATATCACTACACATGAGTTGAGTTTCAAAAGTTAAAGTACCTAAAATGAATAGAATAAGGTCAGGGGTTACAATTGTATAAACCTATGATAGAGTTGTAAGAATACAGTGTTTTTTTTTTTGTTATTGACTAATTTGAGAGATTTTATTAAATATTGGATTTCAAGTGAAAATATATTGCATTTGGAGACATATTTCAAATATTTGTTTTTGTGTATATAACATTTACCAGAGAGAATTAAGAAATTAACGAGTAATTCAGTAGTTTTGTTTTTATTTGAATAATAACATATTACATCTTTAATTGTAACTATATAGGTCTTATTAATGAAATACAAAAATAAATTACTTAACTTGCTCCAAAACAACTTCACAGAGTCACTCATAAAAAATGTGTATAATAGTTTACCCTTCTTTATCACAGAAAAGGCATATGTCCTCTAAATCAAATCAAATCAAATTGTATTTGTCACATGCGCTGAATACAACAGGTGTAGACCTTACCGTGAAATGCTTACTTACAAGCTCTTAACCAACAATGCAGTTCGAGAAATAGAGTTAAGAAAATATTTACAAAATAAACTAAAGAGAAAAAAATAGTTACACAATGAAATAACAATAACGAGGCTATATACAGGGGGTACCGGTACCGAGTCAATGTGCGGGGGTACAGGTTAGTCAAGGTAATTTCTACATGTACAGTGAGGGGGGAAAAGTATTTGATCCCCTGCTGATTTTGTATGTTTGCCCACTGACAAAGACATGATCAGTCTATAAATTTTATGGTAGGTTTATTTGAACAGCGAGAGACAGAATAACAACAAAAAAATCCAGAAAAACCCATGTCAAAAATGTTATAAATTGATTTTGCATTTTAATGAGGGAAATAAGTATTTGACCCCTCTGCAGAACATGACTTAGTACTTGGTGGCAATCACAGAGGTCAGACGTTTCTTGTAGTTGGCCACCAGGTTTGCATACATCTCAGGAGCGATTTTGTTCCACTCCTCTTTGCAGATCTTCTCCAAGTCATTAAGGTTTCGAGGCTGACGTTGGCCATTCGAAGCTTCAGCTCCCTCCACAGATTTTCAATGGGATTAAGGTCTGGAGACTGGCTAGGCCACTCCAGGACCTTAATGTGCTTCTTCTTGAGCCACTCCTTTGTTGCCTTGGCCGTGTGTTTTGGGTCATTGTCATGCTGGAATACCCATCCAAGACCCATTTTCAATGCCCTGGCTGAGGGAAGGAGATTCTCACCCAAGATTTGACGGTACATGGCCCCGTCCATCGTCCCTTTGATGCGGTGAAGTTGTCCTGTCCCCTTAGCAGAAAAACACCCCCAAAGCATAATGTTTCCACCTCCATTTTGCCGGTGGCGATGGTGTTCTTGGGGTCATAGGCAGCATTCCTCCTCCTCCAAACACGGCGAGTTGAGTTGATGCCAAAGAGCTCAATTTTGGTCTCATCTGACCACAACACTTTCACCCAGTTCTCCTCTGAATCATTCAATGTTCATTGGCAAACTTCAGACGGCCCTGTATATGTGCTTTCTTGAGCAGGGGGACCTTGCGGGCGCTGCAGGATTTCAGTCCTTCACGGCGTAGTGTGTTACCAATTGTTTTCTTGTGACTATGGTCCCAGCTGCCTTGAGATCATTGACAAGATCCTCCCGTGTAGTTCTGGGCTGATTCCTCACCGTTCTCATGATCATTGCAACTCCACGAGGTGAGATCTTGCATGGAGCCCCAGGCCGAAGGAGATTGACAGTTATTTTGTGTTTCTTCCATTTGCGAATAATTGCACCAACTGTTGTCACCTTCTCACCAAGCTGCTTGGCGATGGTCTTGTAGCCCATTCCAGCCTTGTGTAGGTCTACAATCTTGTCCCTGACATCCTTGGAGAGCTCTTTGGTCTTGGCCATGGTGGAGAGTTTGGAATCTGATTGATTGATTGCTTCTGTGGACAGGTGTCTTTTATACAGGTAACAAGCTGAGATTAGGAGCACTCCCTTTAAGAGTGTGCTCCTAATCTCAGCTCGTTACCTGTATAAAAGACACCTGGGAGCCAGAAATCTTTCTGATTGAGAGGGGGTCAAATACTTATTTCCCTTATTAAAATGCAAATCAATTTATAACATTTTGGACATTAGTTTTTCTGGATTTTTTTGTTGTTATTCTGTCTCTCACTGTTCAAATAAACCTACCATTAAAATTATATACTGATCCTTTCTTTGTCAGTGGGCAAACATACAAAATCAGCAGGGGATCAAATACTTTTTTCCCTCACTGTAGGTAGGGGTAAAGTGACTATGCATAGATAATAAACAGCAAGTAGCAGCAGTGTAAAAACAAAGGGGGGGGGGGGGGGGGGTGTCAATGTAAATAGTCCGGGTGGCCGTTTGAATAATTGTTCAGCAGTCTTATGGCTTGGGGGTAGAAGCTGTTAAGGAGCCTTTTGGACCTAGACTTGGCGCTCCGGTACCGCTTGCCATGCGGTAGCAAAGAGAACAGTCTATGACTTGGGTGACTGGAGTGTTTTACCATTTTTTGGGGGCTTCCTCTGACCAGTGATGTACTGGGCCGTATGCACTACCCTCTGCAGAGCCTTACAGTCGAATGCCGAGCAGTTGCCATACCAGGCGGTGAAGAAACCGGTCAGGATGCTCTCGATGGTGCAGCTGTAGAACATTTTGAGGGTCTGGGGACCATTGCCACATTTTTTCAGTCTCCTGAGGGGGAAGAGGTGTTGTCGTGCCCTCTTCACAACTTTCTTGGTGTGCTTGGACCATGATAGTTTGTTGGTGATGTGGACACCAAGGAACTTAACTCTCGACACGCTCCACTGCAACCCCATCGATGTTAATGGGGGCCTGTTCGGCCCTCCTTTTCCTGTTGTCCACGATCAGCTCCTTTGTCTTGCTCACATTGAGGGAGAGGTTGTTGTCCTGGCACCACACTGCCAGGTCTCTGACCTCCCTATAGGCTGTCTCATCGTTGTCGGTGATCAGGCCTACCACCGTTGTGTCTTCAGCAAACTTAATGATGGTGTTGGAGTCGTGCTTGGCCACGCAG